GTCACGAAAAAAGACAAAAAGGAAAAAAAAAAAAAGTGACCCCTTTTTCAAAAAAAACACATTGAGGCATAATTGACATAGAACAAACCACATATTTAAAGTACACAATCGGGAAAATATTGGCACGTATATTCTCATAAAACCATCATCACAATCAAGACAATAAACGTAGCCATCACCCACAAAAATTTCCCTGTGACTCTTTGTAATCCCTCTCTCCTGCTCTACCCCTACTGTTGCCAGGCAAACACAGATTGCTTTCTGTGACTATAGCTAAGTTTGCATTTTCTAGAATTGCATGTATAACTGCAGTCATATGGTACATGCTCATTGTCTGGCTTCTAGTACTCAGTATAATTATTTTTAGACTCATCCATGTTGCTGCACATATTATAGTTTATTGCCTTCATACAGCTGGGTGGTATTCCACTGTATACAGCACAATTTGTTTATCCATTCGTCTCTTATCAGACATTTGGATTATTTCCAGATATTACAATGTAGCTGCTATGACCATTCATGTACAAGTCGTTGTGGGAATATATGCTTTTATTTCTCTTAGCTAAATATCTGGAATAGAATGGCTAGGGTATACAGCAGTTATATGTTCAAGAAACTGTCAAAATGCTTCCCAAAATGATTGTACCATTTTATATTCCTACAGTATGAAAATTCCACTTGTTCCATATCCTCACCAATACTTGTTATGGTCTGTCTTTTTAATTTTAGCTACTTTAATAGATGTGTAGCAGTATCTCATTGTGATTTAGTCTGCATTTCCATGAAGACCAGTGATTATGAGCAACTTTTCATTTGCATTATTTGCTATCTTCATATCTTCTTTGGTCAAGTGTCTACATCATTTGCTCATTTAAAAAATTGAGTTATTTTCTTTTCTTGAGATTCTTTTATATGTTCTAGGTGCAAGACCTTTATTATATATACAATTGGTAAACATTTTTTCACAGGCAGTGCCTTGTCTTTTAATTCTCTTAACAATATCTTTCAAAGACCCTATCTTAGCTTTGCTGAAGTCCAATTTATCAGTTTTTACTTTTGTATTTAATTCTCTTGGTGTTACATGAAAGAAATATACCCGAACAAAGATTTTTGTCCTGGGTTGTCTTCTAGAAATTTGTTAGTTTTAGGTTTTACTTTTAGGTCTATCTATGATCTGTTTTAATTTTTGTACATGGTGTGAAGTATACATCAGTGTTTTGTTTGTTTTGCATATAAATATCCACTTATTCCAGAACGATTTTTTTAAAAGTCTATTCTTTCTCTGTTGAATTCCCTTTACATGTTTGTCAAAAGTCATTTGACTATATACGTCCATATGTGTGGGTCTATTTCTGGACTTTATTGTGCTGCATTGATCTGTTACTATGTTTACATCCTCTCACATTGTCTTGATAAGTAGTTTTATAAAAAATCTAGAAATTATAAAGTGTAATCTTTCTAATGTGTTTTATTTTCCAAGGTTTCACCTTGCTTATTCTAGATCCTTTGTATTTCCAGATTTTAGAATGAGCTTAACAAATTCTACAAATTCTACTTTTAGCACTGTTTTGTAGAATTCAGTATACAAGTTTTGCACATCTTGTATCAAATTTACATCTAAGTATCTCATATTTTTTTTGCTACTATAAATGGTTTTGATTTTTAACTTCATTTTCTTTTTCTTTTTTTTTTTTTTTTTTTTTTTTTTTTTTTCCTTTTGTCTTTTTCCGTGTCCGGCAACGGATTGCAACCCTCAGTGTTGCCCCCGTACCGGACCGGGGACCGGCAACGGGATTGCAACCCTCGGTGTTGCTCCCGTGCCTCGCTCAGCCAGTGAGCGGGAACCGGTCTGTATGTGGGATCCGAACCCTCGGGCGGGAGCGCCGCCGCGCTTCCCAAGCGGCGCACTATCCAGTGCGCCACCGGGTCGGCCCTTAACTTCATTTTCTGATTGTTGCTACTGTATAGAAGTGCAATTGATCTTCTAATAAATTGCAATTTTTGTATATTGATCTTGTATCCTGTAACCTTGTTAAACTCATTAGTTTTAGACTTTATGTATTCCATAGGATTTTCTGTATGTTGTCTGTGAATATATCATCTGTGAATAGACTTTTTTTCACTTCTTCTTTTGTTATCTGGAAGACTTCTATCTTTTTCTTGCCTAATTTCCCTGGCTAGAAACTCCAATACAATATTTAATAGAAGGAAACATCAGATATCCTTGCTTTGTCTCTGATCTCAAGGGAAAAGCATTTAGTTGTTCATCATTAAGTACAATGTTAGCTGCTGGTTTTTCTTAGTTGCCCTTTATCAGGTTGAGGAAGTTCTCTTTTATTCATACTTTGCTGAGTTTTTATTAGGAATGTTAAGTTTTGTCAAATACTCTTTGTGCATCTATTGAAATGATCATATGGTTTTCCTATGTTAGTCTGTTAATACAAGGAATTACAATTGACAAATGTTCTGTTAGCCCAAATTTTCACTGAGATAAACCTCAGTTGGTCATATGTATTATCTTTTTTTTTTTTTTTTTTTTTTTTTTTTTTTTTTTTTC